GAATTTCTTTCCTCCCAGATAACCCGACGCTGAACTCTGAAACTAAAGTGAACTTTGCTGCTGGTTTTCTTTCTTGCCTCTTTCAACATTTCCATCTGGTGCAACTGTAGTACAGCGCCTCAGTGTTCTTTGTTCTCGGGGGAAGGCAGGTCACCACCCAGGTGAATTTATTCATTAATGATGCCAGGAGCAAACTCGAGGGATGAAACCAGCATCTAGAGATTGTTAGCACACATGGGTTCATCTACCATCTTATTCTTGTGCTTCTTCTGTAATCTCTGTTACTCTCACCGATGCAACTTGCATGACTTTACTCCCTGTTGTGATTTTTCTCATATTGATTTCTTATATATTGCATATAAACAGTTTCAGAGTTCTGTTATATGGATTTTCAGAAATTTATAGTTTTTTTTTTTTACTTTCTTCTTATTTCTAGCTTTTCTCATCATGTTTGACAGGAAGGAAAAATGTGAAAATACAGGTGTGCACACTTTTAATTTACTTTGCAGTTTTTTGCTCAGGTGAATGTTTAGTAGTACTTAGCTGAACTGCAGAGCTGGGTAATAGTTCCTCACTGCAATCGATGTTTCTACACCTTTCACATAAGTATTCCTGTAATTATTTGTGCATTTTAAACTTAAAGCGGAGTGTTCAAGCAGATACACAACTTCCAGTTCAAGACTGTGTATTTAAAGAGTGGAGGAGTTCGTTATAATCTTAGCTTTAAAATACAGTTAAAAGAAACTTTAGAGGGTAATTTACAGTAGACTAAAAATATGCACAGAGCCAGTGATTAATCACACTTTGCAAGTCATATAGAAGCTTTGATTTATGAGTTTGTTTCTTACTCCACCACCACCGCCAAAAAACTCTTCAGCAATGCCGTCTCCGAGTAGTTTCTGTCTTACCTTTCTACTTTATAAACGAGAATCCCTGCTGTAATAAATAAACCAGTCAACACATCATCTTTATCTGGGTTTTAAATGCATGAAAAAAGATTTGGAAACAGAGTCTCAGCTGAGGAAATAGTGAAAACATGCTTCAGATTAACACTCTGAGTGCACAGAGGCTAAAGCTACGGCCACACGGGGGAAACAGTGGTTGGAGACAGCAGCACTAAAGTGGTTCCTTTGGATCTGTGACCACTCCGTCGGCTGCTGTCTTCATATGATAATAAAGCAGTAAATACACCATGGCTCCAACACCATTGTGAAGTTTGCTGACGACACAGTGGTGTTGGGTGCCATCTCCAACAACGATGAG